ACATAGCTCATTGTTCTGTTGCCCTGGTTAAAGTACAACATAGCTCATTGCTCTGTTGCCCTGGTTAAAGTACAACATAGTTCATTGTTCTGTTGCCCTGGTTAAAGTACAACATAGCTCATTGCTCTGTTGCCCTGGTTAAAGTAATTGCCCAACAACATGTTCTCTCAAACACCAATCAAAGAATCAGAAATGAAATAATTCTTAAATTAGGTTGTGCAAGGTTCGGCTTTTTGTAATTTTCAAAATAGCTTTTTTTAATGTTTTTTTAAAATTATTCAAGTTATTTTAATGTTTTTTTGTTTAATTTGTTCATATTAACTGTTTTATACTTTCCTTATTTTTAATCTAAATTACAGTATTGTTTAACTCTCGTGTTTCTATCTCATTTACATTCTTTTCTCATGTATTATTTCATTTCAGGATGTCCTGCAGTAATTTGTCACTAACTCGTAGGATTATATCGTGTTTGAAAAAGAGCATTTGTTCAAAATGTTGCCAAGGGAGCAAAAAATAAAACCAAAAATGTTTTAAATGATTTATCTCCAGTTGTCTAATTTCTTTATTTTATCACCTTCAAGTTTTCCTTTTTTAGTGTAGCTAGAATTAAACTAATACAAGTTGACAGTTTTAAACAAGTTCTGAAATGTATGGTCACATGAGAGCAAGTGAAATACACTGAGAACAGTAAATGATTGTGATTTAAATTCTGTGCTTCGTAGAATGCCGTACAGTCAGGATGGGCAGCTAATCGTCAGATGTTTGTTCCATCGTGGCAACAACTTCCAACACAGCGATCGATCCAACAACAGGTGTTGTCAGACTCCGAAGTCTGGAACCGATCCCTTGTTCTGGAGCAAGCTGCTCTGCTACCTCAACAACCTGCTGTCATACCTGTCGTAAGCAGACTTTTATATTTATGTTTTAGGTTTTGATTCCCATAGGTATTGTTTCTATCCAAATACGGTTAGTAGATGTTTTATTCACGTCCACTTTTATACAATTTAAACTTTTTTCTTAATATTTTTTTACATTAAAAAATAATACTTTGCAGGATTTTTAATGTAAAACAATGAACTACTGTCCTCTTTCCAATTCAAATTTTACTAAAACCAGTGACCCATTATTATAATTTTTAAATTATGATATTTTAATGTAAAAACAAAATGAGTTGTGGGTTTTAGTAAAATTTTAATTGAAACCAGGACTTCTCTACTTAGCTTTGATTGCAGGTTATCCTAGGATTTCTCTGTTTGTCTTGGAATGCAGGAAACTCTAGGGTTTCTCTGTTTGTCTTGGAACATGGGAAACTCTAGGATTTATCTGTCTTGGAATGCAGGAAACTCTAGGATTTCTCTGTCTTGAAATGCAGGAAACTCTAGGATTTCTCTGTTTGTCTTGGAAACACAGGAAACTAGGATTTCTCTGTCTTGGAAACACTGGAAACTCTAGGATTTCTCTGTTTGTCTTGGAAACACGGGAAACTCTAGGATTTCTCTGTCTTGGAAACACAGGAAACTCTAGGATTTCTCTGTCTTGAAATGCAGGAAACTCTAGGATTTCTCTGTCTTGAAACACGGGAAACTCTAGGATTTCTCTGTCTTGGAAACACGGGAAACTCTAGGATTTCTCTGTTTGGAAACACAGGAAACTCTAGGATTTCTCTGTCTTGGAATGCAGG